GGCCTAACCCCCAACCTAACCTCTCGTTCCCTCCGGATGCGCGGCAGACCCGCCGGCTTCCGCCTAATAGATTCTCGTTATCCGAAGTTGGTTACTCAGTAGACCCGCCATTTTTAATAACAACCAGCGTCGATCAGAAATCCCAGTCTCCCAAAAATTTCCGAATAATTAAAATAATTAAAATTTAAACAAAGCCAAATTTACGGGGTGGGAAAGTGTCCTCTTCGAGGTGTCGACCATATACATATCAAACCACCTTAAAAATAAAAAATCGATTTACGGGAATAAAATAACGAATGCGTGCATCGCAGTCCCTGAAACGATTCTTCCTCTCGATGTTATCGCGCCCCCCGGATAAGCGCGATAACTCTTCTGATAAGAGTCACTTTTAGTCCACCTTGAATTGACCCACCGAGTTCCAGGATTCCCGAATTAAGGACGACATTCCTCCATAAGACCCTTTGTAACCTCAAAACAACCTGAACTCACCCCCTTCGCGACATAATTCAAACGAGTAGAAAACTGATAACATTAAGTCTCTCTAATCCAATAATGAAACTCCATGGCGTGAAATATAATTCCTTAAAAGAACTAAATGACAAATTCTGGTATTCTGTCAACCGGAACGTTCCCTGGCGAAAGCAAGGCTTGCCCGAATCCCGCCGCAGAGCGAGGTCCTCCTTAACGGCGAACTTACGGCGTAATCGCGGGCCGACGCTGCGGCACTTTAGCGAGCCGATAAAGCGAGAGAAGGACAGCGATACGGGCGGCCGTGGGAGAGCGAGAGAGAGGGAGAGAGCGCGCGCCGGTAGGCGACGAGTGGACTCGGCGCTGCGCGGGGAGCGGGGGGAAGAGAAAGAGCGAGGGGGCGGGAAACGGGAAGCGAGGAGCGCGGCCGTATAAGCGCGGCGGTTAACGAGATTTTAATACCCGGGCGGGTCCGAGCGGGCGAGGATGAGAAAGCCCGTTTGGCCCCGCGGCGGCGTATGCTAATGCTACGCCTCAATTAGCGGGACCCGGCGACTAGGTCGGCGAGGAGTCTGGAAAAGGAGTACCGGGCAAAAAGGTGGAAAAAGGAAGGAGGAGGAAGGCCGACCGCGCGCCGATCCAGGGTCGCGGAGAGGTTAGGACGCCGCCGTTACGGCGTGTCGCCGCCTCGCCGACTCGCCGCCGAGTGGCGGGGGAAGGACGCGTGGGACGCGCGGCGTGCGAAAGCCCGGCGGTAGAGGGGAGGGTGGGGGGTAGATCGCAAGGAGGGGAGTAGGCGCTGCGCCTCCTGGAACCGCGAGAAATTCCTCGCGGATAAGAACCCTGAGCTCCGCAAAAAGAGGAATACTCTCGCGCGGCGGCGTTATCGGGAAGGCGCTCGCGGAAAATGCCATTTTTACGTTGTAAACGCAATCGCGCCGGTTACGTCTAGGAGGGAACGACGGGTTACGTGACGAGTGCTCTAGGTACGGTGCATGGGGCGAGGTCTCGACTGTAGCGCCCCAGTTACCTTTACTTTAGACCCAGCTAGACATAACCTAGAAACGTATTGCGGTTTCTTCAAGAGCCCCGTGAAGGTCGGTTACGCCTGAAAAATCCAGTTATTACTGAAAATCGTGGTAGCAATTTTTTCACTACCTTGATATTTTCGGAAAGATTGTTGTAAGGGGTAGAAAGACGAATTCGGTATAGGGAGCCTTTGACGAGACCGCGAGGTTCTCTCGATCGAATCTCCTCCCCACACTGACTCTTTCTAGACGAGGGAAAAGGACCAATCAATCAAGCCGACCGTCAAAGCGGTCCATAAATTACGCCCCGGAATTTTAGATTAATTCCCCGCCGCTCTAAATAATTACCTTAATTAACTAGAAACCGGCCGAGGCGCTCGATTCCCCGAGACCACTCATCGACCGCGGTATAGACCACCGAGCATCTTTTTTCCTCCGGACTCCAATGAGCGTCCGCTATCTCGAGTAATCGTGACGGCAATCCTTCCGCCGAAATCTGATATTTCTTTCCGGTGCGCTTTCTCCGTCGCGACGCGAACTCTCGGGTCCTATCAAGTGCAACGCAAAGAAAGGCGAAAAGTGGAGTTGAGATAGACCCGCCCGTCCACACCCACATAAATGTACATATACCTACACATGCATGCATACACTGAGAAAAAAATTTGGTTGAATTAAATAAGTACGGTTATTTGGCTGTGATTTTATTCATTCAACAAATGATTTTCTTAAAGTAATTGGACAACAGTTGAAATAAATAATCGTTGTAGTTAGTTTTAAAAAATCATTTCACTGGAATATTTAATTCAATTAATCGTAGACTCGTTTGTTTTAAAGAGAAAATCATTTGGTATAAGTGAATGTTTAATTGGAGGAATCATACGTATTAATTGAAAGCGGTTAATTGTTTCAAGTAAATGTCATATCAATTCAATCGTGAGTAATGATTCAATGAAATAATGCACATATGTTTCGTGCAATAAACACATCTAGTTGTTACAATCTTTTAGTATAGTTCCTCTAAGTAAGCTTTCATTGATGCATTCTAATTTTCTATTTCACGCAAACAAGTCTTCAGTTGATTTCGTTGGAATATTTAATTCAATTAACTATAGATTCGTTTGTTTTAAACGTACCACCGAACCGTACGTACGTGTTGTAAACCATACGTACATATGCAATTCAGTGTATACCCTGTACGTATCCATATATCCTTCTAATTTACCTATATATCTCTACGTGTCAGTACCACATGCATGTATAGTAGTACACATAGGGACATTAGTAACCCACACAAATGACATGCATATGTACTGGGACCGTGTATAGTGATGTACACGTATATTGGCACATATACAGTAGCACGCGTGTAGTCGTGTGCGGATCCCCGCGATCCCGTCCGGTCACGTACGCGCCGACGATAAGTGGGAGAGCGCCGGCGACGTCGACGGCGACGCCGGAGGCCGCGGGTGGCGGGGCTGCGGGGGCGGCTCGTGCGTGTAATCCGCAAATGGAACGGGGGCCGCGTGTGCGCGCGTGCTCGCCCGGGCGGGCGTTACGAGCGCGCGGCTCCGACCGGACGGGCACGTCCGCGCGTGACGGGGAATATCGCGCGGCGGATCCCGCCGGGCGATAAGCCGGCCCGCGATTCGGCGATGCCAGCGCCACGCTGCGCCCTAGCGGCGCCGCGGGGAAGCGGCGGGGCATCCGCTCCACCCGAGCCGCCGCGCGGAGGCGCGTTAATAATACAGAGGGGCGCCGCTCCGGCAGCCAGAAGGCGAGAGGCCTCGGGGGGGTGCGGAGCTCGGCGCCGATACATATATTATGCATCGGCCCGACGCATTGACGGCGCCAAAGGGAGGGGCGTCCAGGCGGTGACTTTGTAGCTCGACAAATCGGGCCCACGTGCTGCAGCGGCCGTTTAGCTGGCTTCAAGGTATGGGTCATTTTGTCGTCTACCGTACTGTCGACGGTGTACTTCCAGGTGGGGGAAGGAGACGGAGGTAGTCCAGCCGCCACCTACTCGAAGAGGACGAATTTCGGAGTGTATATGTGCCCATAATTATGAAAGTGGTCTAAGTCAAAATTAAAAAAAAAAAAAATGAGTTTATCAGTTATTTCACGCCATATTATTTCAAACGAAATTAATTCAATGTAATTTCGAATCAAAAAATATATGACTTAGACCACTTTCATAATTATGGGCACATATGTCGGTTTAGTTTATACATGGAATAAGTACTGAAATCATGTTACAAAGTAATGTATAAGTGGGCTGCGACGCGCCGATTCAGGAACAATACGAATAAAGAGGCACCACTTAACCGGGGAAAAGTGGCGGGTTTTCCCTCGGCGGGACTGCGGAAAGTTGCTTCACCGGTTCGCAATTGTCGCTAGAAGGGAATTCTCCGTCCCGGTCGGACTTTCTCTGCCGAATGTTTTTACGATTGCCCGGCGAGCGGCAATTAACGGACACCACTGATGAAAATTCCTCTAGAGTGGATGTGTACCTCCGTTTGGAAAAAAAATCCCGGGACTTAAAAATCATTTAATTGCCAACTACGCAACTTTCTCCGGCTATGTCGGTGAGTTTACCCAGTTTTGGTCAGGCCTTTTTTGCGTCCCTTTCGAGCCGGATCCTCGAGCGATCTGACCGCTCCTCCTGCCGGAGAGTGGCTGGTCGATCGATCGGCGTCGCGACGCCGCGCCTCGGCCTGGGAGGAAAAAAAGCCCCCTTCGGCGGGGTTTCTTCTCGGGGTGACGACGGGTGGCGCGCCTTGCGGCGATCTCCGTAATTGCGGGTCGAAACTGCGTCTCGGCCGTCCTCTCGATTTTCCCGGGCGACGCTCGGGGGCGGCGGCGCCTCGGGACGTCGCCTTAACGACCGCTAATCGCGCCCCGACCGTCGTTGCGCATAGGTGCCCGGAATAGCCGCAAAAAGTCAAACGTCGAGGAAAGAATACCGCTAACGATCGACGATCGACCTCGGCTTCCTTCCCCGAAAGAGGCGCGCAAGGTCGCACGGCCACGTCGTGCCGAAAATAGGAAAGGACGCGGTCGGGCATGACGCCGATCCCACGGTCGGGCCTTCTCCCCACCAGGCCGACCAGCGAAACTCCAGGAATCCCGTTAAAAGTGAGATAAAAGTCGAAAGTATCCCTTCAAAACCATTTAACATCGAAAATCGTTGAAAGAGTCATACGGTATTTTATACGATAACGAATAAGATCTCTCTCTTCAATAGGTTAAAACAGTACACGTTGAAGGTCCCTCTTTACTTTTTCCATTTCAGATGAAAACGTCCTTGCTTAATGCAATTCCAGCCCATTTGGATAATTACTTCACTTCGGTGCTCCTCCGGTACGTGTTATTTTTTTTTTTTTTTTTTTTTTCCCCACTTCTACGTGTCAATACCAAGGGTGTAAGGTTATGTACCGATACCGGTACGGACAGACCATCAAGAGGAGGAAAGGAGGTTAGGACGCACACGAGGTCGACACAAAGACATAAGGTTCTCACTGTTTTTTATTCGAAGACAGGTAAGGTAGAGCGAGTAGGAAATGATGCGATCGATGTACAGATCAATATAGGCGTATATTGACTGCATAACTAAGTACACTGAATACGGAATCAGATCCCAAGATATTTAGCATTATATTCGTAATTAGGTGGTGACGGTGTCGTTTCTATCTCGCACTCGCGGACCCTCGTGTTCTCTCTCTCTTTCTCTCCCTCCCTCTCGTTCACGCACGCGACTCGCCGCGTATACCTAGATAACATCAAAATAAATCTATATCTCGTAATAGCAATAGTTTCGACGCTTACCCGGGACTATGTACAGTGGCGGACTAAAAATACAAGTGCCTCGCTTTCTCTATCATTTACATACATACAAGAAGAAGTACGTGGAAACACGCTCGCTCTCGCCCTTCCCATTCTCCATCCCACTCCACCCCACGTTCCGCCCAATCACTCTTTCTCTTTCTCTCCCTCTCTGGACTACTCTACCCGACCATCGCACTGAAAAAAAAAAATATATGTACATATATCTGGTCCGCCCCATGCCTCCGACCTGAGGACCACCGAAAATACCCGAATTTTTCGAAAATTAATATAAAATGCATTTGCCAGCCGATCAATTTTTGAACTCTTGAGCAGGGAAAATTGGTCCTCCCAGCTGATCTCTCTCTTTTTTTTTTTTTTTTCAGTGCGAAATCTCGAAGAAGAAGAGCGTCTCCTCCATATTGGCGTCGCACGATGGGTCGGAATGATGTTATTTTGGAATTTGGACCATTTTGAACTTCGGCTCAGTCTCGAAGAGCGTGAATTTCTTCGAGTTTCATTTAGGGAATCGGTCGCTTGAGCTCGACCCAACGTACGTCGCTGATACATCTGGAGCGTCGCCCGGACAAAACGCTTTACTTAGGCGTACTCTCTAAGCAATGTACAAGTTTATTGCCTCTCGTACTACTTTGGCATTCGGGCGCGAGCCCGCTCGCGTGCAGTCCTCGTGCCAGCCCCAGCGGGCGCGCCCCTCCGTCTGTACACGAGTAGCGATGGAGGACTATCGATCACCTCTCGACACGGGGAAAGATATATCGATAGGTATCGAGGGACCATCGAGAAAGGCCGCGTCAAGGAACTCGCCATAGTCCCGCGCCAAGTGGGGCCCGATTTAATCATAAAAATTGATCGCCCTCCCCTGGAAGGCATTCACGTTCCCGACATGGCACCTCGTAAATTCCGGATCCGGATGTCCAGGTGGGAATTGCCGTTCAAACGGAGCACGGAAAGTCCACGTCTACGAGGCCGAGGGCGCGGAACTTGGTCGAGGTCCCTAGGTCCCATGGACGCACGTTTCAAGATCCCCCCAGGGACGACGGACCCCACGTGGAGGGGCCACCGAGGGTCCCCCATCCAGTGGTGAGCAAAGTGGGTCTTGGTTCCGATTCCACATTGGCCAAGACCAAGCCTAGGCTTACATTCGCTCACCACCACCTCCATCGCGTTCCAGGGTCCAAAATGAGGCCTCCTACCAGGGTCGCCACATGCCCTCTTCGTCCTTCACGGGTTGTGCTCCTCCAGGAGAGGTGGCAGGCAAAACGACCTCGGTACCCTCGCTGCCCGCGTGACTAGAAGGCCGCTCGTCGTGCAGCGCCACCGGATGTAGGGCGGGGTGTAGCGCGGGGTGAAGCGCGGGGTGTAGGGAGGCAGCGCGATGGTCGGCGGCGGAGGCAGCCGCTTGGGCGGCGGCGGCGGCCGCCGCCATCCGCGCCGACTTCAGCTTCTTCGAGGTGGTGGTGAAGTCGAGGGGCTGCTCGGGATGGTCGAGGCGAGGGCTCTTCCCGGGCTTGGGGGCGTCGGGCCAGTCCGCGGGGTCGTCCAGCGGCCTCTTCACCAGCTTGTCGGTGGCCTTGAGAAGCGACATGTTGGTCGCCGCCCAGATGGCCGTGGGCGGGTTGGGCCCGATGCTGATGCCGTTGGCCGCGGCTGCTGCGGCCAGTTGGACGTAGTGGCTCGGCAGCAAGAAGACCACCTGACCGTCCGGGAGGCGCGAGGGGATCACCTGTACCACCGAGAGCATCCCCGGGTTCTGTTGGGAGGTCGACGCTTGGTCGGCGGCCACCGCCGCCGCCACTCCCGCGTGGTGATGGTCCAGCCCTGGCGGCACGTGCGGTCCCGTCCCGAAGGCCGAGGTCGGCCGACTGCTGTTGTTGTTCTCGTCCCCCGCCGTCGTGCTGCTGTCGGGTCGCGTCGCGTCCAGCTCGGGCATCTCCGACTTGATCAGCGCGGTGCTGCAGTGCGGGGTCGGCGGCGCGTGGTGGTCCATCGCCCCCGGGCTCGCCGCGCCCGGTACCCGGTCCGTCACGCTCCCCGGACTACTTCCTAGCCCACTGTCCGGTCGCGAGCCCAGGTCCAGGTCCAGCTCCGACACGCAGCTGTCCAGGTGCCGCAGCAGCCTCTGCTTCACCGCGGGGTCCATCGGCGTCGTGTTCCCCGTGATGATGTCCGGGGCGTCGAGGTACCGACTCACCTGTAACCGAAACAATTCACAATCTTCAGATAAGGGTTTACTTAACGGCGTTCACCACCAAGTGGGGACGATGACTTCCACCGCTAGATGGCATTAGCATCGAATTCGGTGGGAGGTTACCAAAACGTACTTTCTCGCTCGGATGAGGGAGACGCGACGCATAATGGGCAGTGTTTAGCAACGGGCGAAAAATGTGTGTGTATTTTGCACGTATACAACTCACACAACGGCTAGACGCCTCTGGACTAGGCGCCGAAACGCGTGTGACACTCGGCCGCACGCACACGCAAGTTGGACGCTCCGCCTAGAGTCGGCAACGGTTGCTAAGGAATGCCCAAATTTCTCGCGAGAAACTTGAAAATCCTGAAAAAGGTGCTCCACGGGGACAACGATTTTGAGCGTATTTCTCAACCGATCGAGCTCAACGAGTGCTCGTTTTAAAGATAAAACGTTGACGTGTGTTTATATGGGAGCGATTTTCGATCGAGCACCTCCTTCCTAGGTAAAAGGGCATTGAAATTATGTCGTTGCACTTTTTCATATGATAATGACCACTTATCGAAAATCCCTCCCATATAAACACAGGTCAACATTTCATCTTCGATATGAGCACTCGTTAAGCTCGATCGGTTTAGAAATACGTTCGGAATCGTTGTCCCCGTGAAGCCCTGCAAAATCGCTGGAGTGGTGAGCGCCCTTAACCACTTACATGGCTAATATAAAATATGCAGGATTTTGACTGATAGCAAAAATCGACGGTCTGTATGTTTGTTCCCCAGTGATATAGGGACATAGGGATGATACTTAAGAATTTCACTGGTTCCTCGTGTAACCTTTTAGGAGGAAGAGGTTGGATGTCGCGTTATCACTCGCGCTATACGAGATATCGTACACGATCACGCCTTTAGCATTTATGTGTTACATATGAATACGCAAAAATAAATGGTATTCTATGCCAGGGCGCGTACGGGAGGAGGTACGCGGACCCGCGGCGTCGTTGGCAACGCGCTTAGGTCGCCCCGGGAACGGCGGGAGAGCTAACGAAACGAAACGGCCGTCGCGTCCCGTTGCTCGGCCGCTAAGGTTTTATAAGGCCGTAAACCCACGCTCCGCAGGGAGACCTTTCGCGGCGGCATATTAAGCGCTCGACGCGGCGACAACGAATCGCAAATTCCAGCCCGAGCGTACCTTCCGAGTGCCTCCCCTAACCTCAAAATCCCGCGACCCAACGTCAACTATTTACGACTCAATATCGGATGAATCGTTTATATATTTATTTACATTATATATATTACATAACTCAACGTCAGATCTAACGAATCCCCGCTCGCGATTCCCCCATCCGTTCCCAGTTTCGCCACACCTCCGTCCCTCGAGGTTCTCCATCCCGGAACAAAGAAAAGGGAAGGAAAAAGCGAGAATATCCCGGGTAGGGTCGCTCCCACGTGTGCGAGGGGCTTCCCGCTAACCGGGTCTCCCGCCGCGGCGTGGATCTCGCGTTGCGCCACAGGTCAAAGAGACGAGCGTGCGCGAGCGCGCGCGCGCGATAGCCCGACAAACACGCCGCTCGTGCGCGCCGTCCGGCGGGGACCGCGGGAGTGAGAGGGGAGCGGCTATCGCCGCCGCGGCCCCTTCCCCCCCCTCCCCTCCCCGCCCGCGGCCCGGCGGGCGGCGCGCATATAAATACCGCGCCCGCGCGCGCGCGGTAGATCGTGCCCGGCACCGCTCGGGGCCGGCCGCGCTCTCCCGAGGCCCGTTTTATTCCCTTTTTAATTTATGGCCTCGCCGCCGCTGTATCCAATCGCGCGACCGCCCCGCGCCCGGCAATTCCGCGATAACCGACGACCGCGCGACGCGCGTCGCCATAAGGTGGCCGCGCGAGGAGGAGGGAGGGGGGGGGAGGGAGAGAGGCGCCTCGACTTCGACCGGAAAAGCCGCCGGGAATTCTTTCTCTCTTGCGGCGAGTCGGCGCAGCGCCAAAGGCGGCGCGGCGCCTTTAGTGCCCCCTCTCCCCCCGACGCGAACCGGTCAACCCCTTCCCTACCCGCGCGATCTTATCAACGAGGGTCGCGATAACAGCCACCGAGCCGCGACGAGACGACTCGGCCCTCGCGCGCACGCGCGGAAATTTCGCCCGGGGTGGCGGGTGTGGAGAAACACATTTTTAAGAATTTTGGGAAATCATGAAAGAGAATGTGATGGAAACTCGCGGAAGGGGGACTTTTCGTGCAGAATGGATTTCTTTTTTTTTAATTATCAGAGCGTGTGGGACGTTTTCTATTTTATTTTTTTGTTTGGTCGATTCGTACAAGGATTCGCTCGTTAGCCTCGCCGATTTCGAAAGTCCTGACCGAGAGAGTCACGCGAGGTGTCAATTTTCTCCGGTGGAAATCTCGGTCGCTCCCGGAGCCTCGTCGAGGCCTCGCCGATATACCGCGCGAGCGCGAGATATCGTATCGCGATACACCTGACCAAGTAGTCGTGTAAATAGCGCTTGACACGACACCCGAGTGTCCCCTTTCGAGTCGGCGGCCCCTCGGCGTTCCGCTCGGCTCGGCTCGGCTCGGCGCATCCAGGAGCGAACTCGCTGATGGATTCGCGAGAGAGTCGCTATCCGCTATCTAACCTGTACTTCCACTATCTGACGTCTAGAAAGCCTATATAAAAAAAAAAGAAAATGGCGGTCTCGGAGAAGTCCACCTTACTTTTGTACTCTGCGGGATGATTTTTGTACGTAAGGACACCTAGTGCGCGGTTTAAAAAATGTACATGCTTTAGAATGAGATCCACGAAATTACATCGGGATATTAGAAGATCGTTTACTTGGGAATTTACATTGTATTTACATTGTATCAGAACTGCACTCGCGTGGTGAAATTTTAATCGGTTCGGTAAAATGTTTCGTAGAACGATCGACTCTTCGGATGCCGCTTTCACGGCACCTTAAACGGAAACCAGGGTAACGGATTTTCAAGGAATATGCATCGGTTCGTCGTTACAAGTGCAATTATACTTCCGCTATCTAGAGGTGTTATTATGCGCACTTCGGTGCAAGGAGGAAGGAGGGCTCACCTCTCTCGAGCAGTCTTGGTATCCAGCCTTGTACCTCGAGAGACCTGGCTGTGCCAGGCTCCTCTGCCTCTGGAGGTGCCTGACCGTCAGCTCCAGGATGTCCGCCTTCTCGAGTTTGCTGTGCTTCGTGTTCTCCAGGCGGGCGCTGTCGAGGATGAGCGCCTTCAGCGCCGCCAGGGACTGGTTGATCCGCGCTCGCCGTCGCTTTTCCATCAGTGGTTTGTTGGCCTGAAAGGCAAAGATTCGCAAATGACATCCTCTGGAACAAGAACCCACGAACGTACGTTTCATCGAATTTCGCAATAAATCGCGCGATTATATACGAGTTATCGAGGATACCCCGTGATAACCGAAATCCAAGCTCGCGCCAGAAATTCAAAATGGCCGACGCGGTCTTCCCATGATGCCCTATCTGTCTTGAAGGCATTCATGTCTCCTCATGGAACAAGAACCCACGAACGTACGTTTCATCGAATTTCGCGATAAATCACGGGATTATAAACGAGTCATCGAGGATACCCCGTGATAACCGAAATCCAAGATCGCGCCAGAAATTCAAAATGGCCGACGCGGTCTTCCCATGATGCCCCATCCGTCTTTAAGGCATTCATGTCTCCTCATGGATCAAGAACCCACGAACGTACGTTTCATCGAATTTCGCAATAGATCACGTGATTATAAAGAAGTCATCGAGGATACCCCGTGATAACCGAAATCCAAGCTCGCGCCAGAAATTCAAAATGGCGAACGCGGTCTTCCCATAATGCCCTATCCTTCTTGAAGGCATTCATGTCTCCTCGTTCTTCAGTCCTCGATACCTTACGCGTGTAAATATACATTGTAAAGTATGTACGGCACCGAGGCATTCCTCTTCATTTCCTCGAGGACACCAGGGCGTCGATTTTCCCTCCCCAAGGGTGTCCGCCGCGTCTCGACGCGGCGGATAAACGCGGCGAGGAACGAGACGGATGCTGCGAGCGTTAGGAAAGGAGCCGCAGGAACCGAAACGCGCCAATGCGGCGCTGGCACCGCGACGCCGGGCGGCGCCATGCCCGTTTCTCTCCTTTCCCTCGCCCCGAGAATATACGTTTCTTTGTTTTCCGCCCGGTCCCCGGGGTCGAAATTCCGCCGTCGACCCGGCGTCGCGATGACGCTCTACCCTGCACGGACAATCCGGAAAAACGACAAATACGTCTCCCCGCGGAAAACGATCACGTGACGTTCATTTCGAATTAAAATCCCGCCACCGTTAACACCCAGATACATGCGACATGGGTCACTCCACGTCGTCCCCCAGGAAACTCCTCGCGGGAAATTCGAAATGGCATTCCGAGTCCACCGTCTCAGGTAATCACCTGGAATAAGAACGACAGGTGTCCCGGGTTATCCAACGCCGTTAAGTCTCCTCCACCCCGGGGCCGTTATCCGGCGCTCGTTAAGATGGCGGAAAATTGCGGGTAGCAGGCCATCCGGGGGGACGTTGAAGCACGTCTCGCCGACGCACATTTCTACGCGTCGCCGTCAGTCCTCGAGAGGAGGAAAACCACCCGGGCGAGCGTCACCGGTCGTCGTCCCGGAACGCGCCGTCAATTAAGCTTTCCGCCTCCCGACCACGACGGCCGAGACGGCATCCGAGGCGTTCGAGACGTCCACGAAGCGAGACCACGAGGAGCTCTCCCCCCCCCTTCCCCCCTCTCCGCCCACCACCCCTATCCACCGTTCCGCCGGCGCCCGAGGCGCCCTCATTAGCCCGAGCCTCGGCGCGCCCCTGAGTTTGTCGAGCCGTTTCCCCTCTCTCTCCCACCAGGCGCTGCCCGCATCGCGCTCTCTCGCTTCCTCTCCGCCTCTCACCACCCCCCGAGCCCGCGCCGCGCCGCCGCGTCCCTCGGCGTCTCTGGCCGAGCGGCCAAATAAAACGAACGCCGTAAATAAGAAGGCAAAGGCGCCGCGCGATCTTTCGCCTCGGGCGTAAGCCGCCGGTGGGGGGGGGGGGGCGAATTTGCACTTGGAAACTCCTCCACCCGAGCCCGGGTTTGCCGAGCGCGCCTCTCGGCGGGAACTCGCGCGACGGGCGCCGGGCTCCTCGATTTACCGCCTCCGGCGCCCCTTCGCTAATGCCCGCCCCCTATGTACCCGCGACACCTTTTACTCCCTTCCGATTATGTGTTTAAATGTTATTTAGAGAGATCTTGGAGATTAGTTAATTGTATATGTTATTTGTGTATTTTGTACGGCGAGGTTAAGAGATAGGAGATTCTATAAAGTATGGTATACAGTGTGTTCGTAAATTCAGAATTAGGTAATTTTATATGAAAACGCTGGTAATGTAGGAATTGCATGTTAGTAATTTCTCGGTGTATTCTGGCAACGGTTCACCCGGATCTGGCGGCGCGCGCAGGCGCGGCCGCGAATCGAGCTACTCACGCGCGGTGCGCGCGCATCGCGATCAGCCGGCGCGTCCGAGAATCGGGTAGCCTCACGCGCGGTGCGCGCGCATCGCCCTAGAAGGCCGCGACGCCGCCGCAAACGAGTCGAGCCACGCAGACACGCCGAGGGCGCGCTGGCGTGCGCACGCACGAGCGCGCCGGCACGCGAGCGTGCATACCAGGGGGCAGGAAGATTGCGGCGAGTTTTATCAGCTCTCGGGTGATTCCGACTTTGCAACAAAACGACCGTTTCACATCAAGTGATACGAGACGGTCATTTTGCATGCATCAAGACGTCGAAATATTTGTAAGAAAGAACTTTCCTCCAAACTGGGCGCACCGAACAATCTGAAACTTTAACCCGCGATATATGTGCCCATAATTATGAAAGTGGTCTAACTCATATATTTTTTGTTTCGAAATTACATTGAATTAATTTCGTTTTAAATAATATGGCGTGAAATAACTGATAAACTCATTTTTTTTGTAATTTTGACTTAGACCACTTTCATAATTATGGGCGCATATCATGGAGATCCTAACCGAAGGTCTTGAAACTCGGGAAGTCTCATTATTCGAAAAAGAAAATTTGTTCATCTATTCCGGACAACTAAAAAGATCATCCCTCCGAAAAATGAAATTTCATGGATATCAAGACCTGAGTTTTGGCCGCCATTATCGCGTGTCAAAATTTCAAATGATTCGGTGCGTTCAATGGGGAGAAAATTTGTATAAATACTTCGACCCTTTGATAAGATCTTAATCAATGGCGGTACTAGGTTCGTCATGGCGGTTAAAATTGGCCAGAAATATCGCGGAAACACGCCTCGACGCCCTGGGGACCGCGGTGCCGTTTTTCGTCCCGTTTCAGCGTCCAGATTCGCTCGGCGAATTCCACGTACGAGCCGCGCGGGGTTTCACGCAAAGCGGCCTAACTCGGCATGCACTGCGCGTGCGCCGACGCGATTAGCATGGTCAAACAGCTCCGGGAGGAGAGGACGCGAGTCTGATCGCCCGCCGGCCGCGAATGGCCCTGTAAAGTAATTGGCGACGAGCACGGATCGACACTAATCTCGCGATACATCGCCGTAGAGGATAACTCAAGAAAAGTGCCACTTCGAGGGAGAAATCGCAACGATCCAATTAAACCGAATTAACGTGGTAGAGTTAAAATTAAGCGGCCAAGACACATGGCTGTTCGCCTATAACTCAGGCTCAGGAAAATACGTGTATCCAGGTACACGTATTTTCTTCCCGGAATTTCCGCAACAATGAAAATAAGCGCGGCCATGATAATACGTGTATCCAGGTACACGCATTTTTTTCCTGAAATTTCAGCACAACGAAAATAAGCGCGGCCATGAAAATACGTGTATCCAGGTACACGCATTTTCTTCCCGGAATTTCCGCAACAATGAAAATAAGCGCGGCCATGAAAATACGTGTATGCAGGTACACGCATTTTCTTTCAAAAATTTCCGCAACAGGGAAAATAAGCACGGCCATGAAAATTCGTGTATCCAGGTACACGCATTTTCTGCCTGAAATTTCCGCAACAACGAAAATAAGCGCGGCCACAAAAATACGTGTATCCAGGTACACGCATTTTCTTCCCGGAATTTCCGCAACAGCGAAAATAAGCCAAATTCGGAATATTCGGAGGAATTTTTCGAAAGACCGGATATATCGGTTGCGGAAAAGATAATCTTTTGTAGAGCGATCTTGGCGACGCCGTTGACGACGCGCGGCGTCGGTCGCGTGTCGCACCGCGGCAAGATGGCCGCGCCCCGGCGCTGTCCGCGCGCGGTTCCACCTTTAATTCCGATAATGGCCCACGGACGACGGCCGAACGACGTGATAACTGGCCGTAAATACTTCCAATTACGGCAAATTGCTCTTACAACGGGCCCGACGCGAGCGGGCTGTCGCAACGCGCGCGCCGATCGCGTGCGGGTTTTCGATCCGCGCGCGGAATAATCGCCTCAAAATGTAAATAGGCCCCCTCGCAGCGGAACGCATCCGCTCCTGGGGCGGAACGCGCGATTCGTTTTCGCTTTCGCATTATTCGTCCGTTCGTTCCGCGGAGGGGCGGAAACCGCTCGGCGTCGAAATATCAGGGAAATTCCAGACCCGTGGACTTCTCTCCTTTACTTCTGGTTTATCCTCCGTTGCTCTTCTTCCTCTACGTCAATCGAAATACCTGGGATACGCGACCGCGTCCATCGACGTGCGATTTTCGACCTGCGTCACGTCCGGAGTCCTGGACACGTGGTGTCACACAGAGCGCGGCCGGCCAACGCGTCGAGGTTGACAAACCGATCAGGACCGTGCTTAACCTCTTGCGTCACTTCCGCCGCGATTTCGATAGGATTCTGAACCTCGCCGAGGTTGACGCGCCGCGCTCTGTGGGACACTCGACGTCGGCCTCAGTGTCGCGCACCCCCGACAGGCACGTCCGCAAACGACGCCGCAGGCTCCTCGTAAATGCCCGCGCGGAACGCACCGCGGGATAATTCCGCGTGCCCTACGTGTCAGGACTCGCTTCTCGGTAACGCCGGGCCCCGTCGTTACCCCCGTGCGGTGCACGCGTGTCGGCGCGCGCGCGCGCGCGCCGCGTGCGTGGGCACGCTTCGCCGCTTGCGGCGCTCCTTTATAGCCCGGCAGCTCTCCGCGTATTTATAACGCGAGATTTACCGCCGCGCGTGCTAAAAGGTGTCCCGCGAGAGCCTCGATGGGAATCCTTCGATTACGTTCGTCGTTACGAGTACAAAGGTAACCTGCCCTAGATACTCCCCAAAATTG